AGTGAAGGGTGACCTTTCCCATAGTAGCTAGCTCCTCAAAGCCTTCCACACCTCCTGCTGCTGCTGCCGCTTGCGTGGAGACAAAGAAGAATTGGCCCGGGTATCGATCTTCACTCGAGTCCTTGTCGTAGTCTCCACCTTTCATGCTTGCCGCTTCGCCTCCACGGCCACCACGGCCTCCACGACCTCTGCCTCTTCCTCCCCTTGCTCCTCTGCCCTCTTGGCCTTGAGAAGGGGTCCAGCCATCAGGTAGTTTGAAGCAATCTCTCCACATGTGGCCGGTCTTGTGGCAAAAGTGGCATTCGCCATCAAATCGACCGCGCCCACGCCCGTAGCCATTGTTGTTGCTGCCATATCCTCCATTACCACGGCCTCCATTGAAGTTACTGCTGCCAAATTTGCCTCCTCTCCCTCTGCCCCTTCCACGGCCGTGCCCACGGCCCATGCTTGCAACTCTGGCACCATCGGGACCCGCCAATTTGCGACGGCGGAAATCTTCTTGTAAGATTTCCCGCTTCACATCTTCGAGTAAGAGACGGGGCAGATCTCGATTTAGGTTGATGATGAGCGAGGACCATGAGTCCGGAAGTAAGGCCAGCAGCTTGGTCTTCTTTTGAAGGTCACTGTAGTTCAGATCAGCTCCTTCGAGCCGTGTCAACAAGTCGAAGAATTTCTGCACTCCTTCCTCCACCGGTTCGCCTTCGTCAATTCGAAGTGCCGCCATTTGCCGCTCCAAAACCACAGCCACCGCCGCTGTTGCAGGAGCGTGTACACCCTTGAGAGCAGCCCATGCCTTTGGTCCCTTTGCTGGTTCACGCTGAAAAGGCTTGATGTGACGGATTTGGCTGCTCCCCAACGCTTGCCCAAGTAGAAGGTAGCCTTGTGTGCTCTTCCGCACCCACGGGCTCTTCTCCGGGTCGCTCTCGGGGCGCTTCTCCGTTCCTTCCATCACCTCCAGCAGATCATAGTGGTCGAAGATGTTCTCCATCTTGAAGGACCACTCAGCAAAGTTGTCACCGTTGAACTTGTCAAGGCCAAACACTCTAGGCTCATCCCTAGAGGGTCCAAGGCTAGGTTGCACCGGAGCAACGGGTGGATCTTGGTGTTGACCTTGTGCTTGGGCGTCTTCTCTGCCTCCAGCACCTCTGCCACCCCCTTCCTTTGGTCTTGGCATGGTCGAGACGGAACCAAGGGGCTCTGATATTACTTGTTATAGTCACATTAGGCTCAAATGTACCTATAATGAGAGATAGAGAGCACAGTCGGATTTCCGTTAGACGGCTTCAAATATTGATAACGATCTGCTCGCTGACTCAAACGGTGATCTGTAAGTTGGATCTTGAGCGCGTGGCTGTCGTTTATAAGTTGAATAATAAAATTCCATGAAGATGTGACGACGCTATGGCGGTTTGACTAGCAGAAGGTATAGCAGCCACTATAGTCTTGGAAGTACAAACTTAGCAAGAAGAATTCGAGAGGGAGATGGTTCCCAGCCTCTACATACCCCAAGAGCCGAGGTCCAGGTTGGTGGTACACCACCACAGAGTCCCCAACCACAAAGAGTCTTGAAAGCAACCCTCCAAGGGGCTACACCAAGCGAAATGTAACACTACACGAAGTAGCGTTACTATTTTCACTATTTAATATTTATCCGCGTCCCTTGGGCTTGAAATCTTGAGCTCTTGGTCTTGGATCTGCAAGATAAATTGTTCTTGAGTTTATGGGGGCTTGCTGCACACACCTGCGACGCGATGGACACTTCACACTCGACAAAATAGAAAAAAAACACATGCGACACACAAACGACGACCTGAAATGCGAGTTGTAAAAACTCGCTAATGTCTTGACCGACACAAACAACATTGTGATACACCATTCAAACACACACACGAGCACTAGATAGCAATGACATAGACTCACAATTCATTCCATGCCATGCATGCACACACACAAACAAGGACGACAAGCCGAGTGCAAGCCATAGGGTTGCACCAACAACAACTGGACAGGGGAGAGTGGTGGTGTTGCGTGCCACAGCTGTTGCTGAGGGGTCTGCTAGTGCGACGGGGACAGGTGCGGAAGTGGGGTGAGAGCAGTACTGACTCTAAAGAAGTTGAAGGACGCACCAGAGTCTAGGATATAGGAGAGGGCGGACTTGGCGGGGCCCAGTAATGGATCGCTAACAAAGCCTATGCTTGACGCAGTAGGGTAGTCTACGTCTGACGGAGCACGGGATCCTAGACAGCACATAGCAATGGCTCCTAGGCTACAAACCGCAGAATAATATGAACCAGCAGCACTTAAGGAATCACCATACAGACAATACAATGCCTGATTGATCTAAATCATTTCTACATCAAAGATAGGAACCCCATGACGAAGCAAGGTGGGCCAGGGAGGTACCTGCACCAGTGGGCAAACTGACGGTGGTAGAGGTCGTCCAGACAGCTGTATCAGTGAGCAGCAGTGTGCCCCGCACGCCCGCAGACCTGGCCTGTCTGCGGGCAGGTCAGAAGCTGGTACGTGCAGGTGCCCACGACTCCACAACCACCAGCACCCTGGCTCATAGAAGAGCCACGCGACCCCAGGGCACCAACTGCCCTTAGGGCCAACCTCCACGGCCTCCACCACGACCACCACTCCTAGAGCCCGCCAGCCCCTACGGATGCTGTTGCTGCTGCTGCGGCTTCTGCTGCTGTTGCTGTTGTGCAGTCCCCAAGTCCGGCTAACCACTGTCTCCGTTTGCATCCGCACCCCCCCTACCCACTGCTGCCGACCCTCCATGGCCCTTGCCCCTCTGACCCGAGGAGCGACCGGACGCAGCGGCAGCCGCGGCAGTCTTGGCAACGGAGGCGGAGGCATGAGAGATAGTCAATTGGGAGGGAGCGCTGCCTTGAAGATATGGACTGTCAGTGTGCCAGTGGAACCAGCGATAGCGCGGAAGCGGTCCTCTATCTTAGTAAGGGAGGTGGAGAAGATGTCAAGGGTGAGCTCAGAGGGGTGGCGAGCGAGGAGGGCATCGTGGGTAGGGGCAAGGCGGTCAGGGAGGCGGGTGACAAGGAAGTAGATAGTGGCGTAGAGCCAGCTGGGCCTTGGTACAGGCCACACGCCAGCGGGCCTTGAGGGAGCACAGGTGCTCGACTAAGTCTGCTACACTGGTGAAAGAAGTCAGGTCATGGGCATGGGGGAGCAGAGAGCTCACCAGAGACGTGGGCGTCTAGGGATTCGTCGTCCACTTGCTAGCTTGTCAGGTGCAGGAGGACTGTCTCCTGCCAGGCTGCGAAACCGACCGCCTGCCCCTCCCCATCCAGGTGCAGAACGAAAACGCTGGTCGCTGACATGCTGGCGGTGGTGGCAGCAGCTGCAACTGTGAAGACAGTGGCGAGGGCTGCAGGAACGGTGGCAGCGACGACTGGTGGTGGAGTAGCTGCAATAGCGGCTGCAGCGGCGACAATGACGGCGGCGGCAGTGGTGGCTGCAGTGGCCGTGGCAACAGCAGTGGCTGCGGTAGGAGCGGTGGCAGCGGCGCTGCAGTGGTAGCGGTGGTAACGGCAGCGGCGGCGACTGCGGCGGCAGCGGTGGCAGCGGCAGCAGCAGCAGCAGCAGGAGCGGCAGCAGCAGCGGCTGCAGTGGTAGCGGCGGCAGCAGCAGGAGCGGTGGCAGTGGCGGCTGCAGCGGCAGCGACGGTAGCGGCAGGAGCGGCAGCAGCGACGGCAGCGACAGTAGCAATGGCGGCGGCGGCGGCGGCTGCGGTAGCGGTGGCAGGAAGTTGTAGGAGGGCGGCAGAGGGCGGCAGCGGCAGTGGCTAGTGGGCAACTGGGCGGCGGCGGTGCGAAGCCAGCGGTGAGCTGGTTGGCGCGCTAACTGGCGGCGGCGGCGCGAAGCCAGCGGCGAGCTGGTTGGCTCGCTATCTGGTGGCAGCTGCTTCTTGGTGAGCCAGCGGCAAGCTGGCTGGCGGCTGCTGGCGGCTGCTGGCGGCTGCTAGCGGGCGAGCCAGCAGCGAGCTGGCTGGCGTGCTAGCTAGATGGCTGGCGGGCTGGCTGGCGGGCCGGCTGGCTTGCTAGCTAGATGGCTGGCGAACTGGGTGGCGAGCGGGCTGTCTAATGAGTCGGCTGACGAGCGCGCTGGCTGGTTGGCTGGCGTAGAGGACGCTAGTGGGGAAAGGGTGGGGGACCTACGGAGCGCGGAATTGAAGAGCGGGAGTTGCGGGGGAAAAAAACAAACTACAGTACGGGCGGGAGCGTGGCGTTACGGGGAACTTAACCCTAGCTCCATACCATATCAGAATAGAATAGAAGTGTCACTAGGAAGAGGGCAGGGGAGGTAGAGAGTGTTGTCCCCTCTAAGAGCTGATCTAGCTAGGCTATAACAAACATATATAAACTAAATAGATATATCAATTTATGTTTGTTGACAAGTACTGCACAAATATGGTACTGGTATCAGTGTGCACGAATACGTCCTTAAACCATATTTTTTGCGGCATTTGATGAAAACGTGGAGGATATAATAGACTTTCCCAGGAAACCACATTTTCGCACAATGCCAGCATGCTCACACTAGGTGCAATCTAGTGTGTTTTTACATACTTGAAACGTAGAGCCACACCATAGGTGGTGAAAAGAAGTAACTTTTATGTTGCAGCGGGGTTGACTCAAGCTGTGATGGGGCAATGTGACGAATTTGATCCGCCGCGTCGAGATTCAGGGGTTTGTGGGCAATCGGGGTTTTGTACTGGCTCAGTTGGCTGTCGCGCTCGCACCATTGTCTTTCGCGCACAGGTCATGAAACCAGTGGTGCAGTAGGGTGGGCTGGTTTCCGTAAGGCAACTCAAACTTGGCGGGAAGCCACGTAGGTGCCACGCGGTATGTATGGAGGGATCTTGTGCACATGTGGCACTGCCGCTTTCAATTCGATCTGCAGATTCTCAGTCGCCAGCGCATGCCCCTTGAGATGCACAAAATCCTTCCTAGAATTCTGCTAGCGGCTGCACAACAGCAGCAGACGAAGCAGAAGAGAGGCATTACGAGCCGCTTCGCTGCCTGGTGTAAGCAGCTGCGAATTCACTTCAACAGCAGTCCCACCTGAAATTTCTCACTCTTCACGCGCCCATCGTCGGGGTTTATCTCTCTGTTCTTCAGCGAGCTCAGATTTTGGCATTTGTACGGTAGTCATGGCTGCCGTCTCAACGACCTTCAAGGCCGCCGTCGCTAGCCTTGGCGCAGAGGCGCGGCTAGCGGCGCCCGTAGCCTCTAGCGCGCGCAAGGTCGAGTTGCACTCGTCCTCGTTCGCTGGCAAGCCGCTCAAGGCCGCCACCTCCTCGCCGCAAAATGTCGCCAGATCCTCCCGTCGGTCGCGTGCGACGCCGCGCGCGCAAGGCGGGAGCATAGAGGGCAAGCCGACGGTGCTGGTGGCGGAGAAGCTGGGCAGCGCGGGGCTGGAGCTGCTGAAGAAGATCGCGAACGTGGACTGCTCGTACAACCTGACGCCCGAGGAGCTGTGCGCCAAGATCTCGCTGTGCGACGCCATCATCGTGCGCAGCGGCACCAAGGTCACGCGCGAGGTGTTCGAGGCGTCCAACGGGCGCCTCAAGGTGGTGGGGCGCGCGGGCGTGGGCATCGACAACGTGGACCTGCACGCCGCCACCGAGGCCGGCTGCCTCGTCGTCAACGCGCCCACCGCCAACACCGTCGCCGCCGCCGAGCACGGCATCGCGCTGCTCACCGCCATGTCGCGCAACATCGCGCAGGCCGACGCGTCCATGAAGCGAGGTGAGCAGATGACGTCACGGTATATAGGCGGGAAACGACGTCTTCGAGAATTCTGATGTTCGTGGAACTCACGATGCGGTCCAAGACAGCTGAAATCTCCCCGAATCTGAACATTTTGTTCGAAATCCAGTTATTGGCGCATCAGGGGCCGTGGGATAGAAGTCGATCTGCCGTTCGACGCAGAAATTAGAATCTTGAACGAAATATTTGTATCGTTATTGCAAACTTTGCCATGCAATCGTGCCGCATGGCCATTGTCCGCTGCGTGCGTGCGTGCGTGCGGCGGGTGGCAGGCGAGTGGAAGCGCAGCAAGTACATCGGCACGTCGCTGGTGGACAAGACACTCGCCGTCATGGGCTTCGGCAAGGTGGGGTCGGAGGTGGCGCGCCGCGCCAAGGGGCTGGGCATGCACGTCATCGCGCACGACCCCTACGCGCCCGCGGACCGCGCGCACGCCATCGGCGTGGACCTGGTGTCGTTCGACGAGGCGCTGCAGCGCGCCGACTTCATCTCGCTGCACATGCCGCTCACGCCCGCCACCGACAAGATGCTCAACGACGAGACGTTCGCCAAGATGAAGAAGGGCGTGCGCATCGTCAACGTCGCGCGTGGGGGGGTCATCGACGAGGCGGCGCTCGTCCGCGCGCTGGACAACGGGCAAGTGGCGCAGGTAGGGCTGGGGGAGAGGTGGGCGGTCGGGAGCTGTGCTGATTTCCCTCAGTTCCCAGCGCTCGGCTCGCTCACACTCACTCTCTTTCATCAGCGTCTTCCGCTTGCATTCACCTCTCCCGTCACTTTTGTCTCCTCTCCTCTCGCCCCTCTCCTCTCTTCTCATCTCTCTCCCCCCCCCTTTTTTCCCGGCAGGCGGCGCTGGACGTGTTCACGGAGGAGCCCCCGGCGGCGGACAGCGCGCTGGTGCTGCACGCCAACGTCATCGCCACGCCGCACCTCGGCGCCAGCACCACCGAGGCGCAGGTATGGCCCACCGCCGTCACCAGCTGCATGCGCGCTTTGGCCGCCCCTTGCAACATGCACCGGAAACCCCGGCCCACCATTTCTCCTTGCTGACCTCGCAGCACTCCCCCGTCTGAGCGTTGTGCGCGCAGGAGGGAGTGGCGGTGGAGATCGCGGAGGCCGTGGTGGGCGCGCTCAAGGGCGAACTCGCCTCCACCGCCGTCAACGCGCCCATGGTGCCCGCCGAGGTGAGTCAACGACAGTCAACGCGCCCATGGTGCCCGTTGAGGTGAGTAAACGCGCCCATGGTGCCCGGTGCGCCAGTGGGAGAGACAAGGCAATTTTCTCACGCGGGTTGGCTGAAAGCACAGGGTCAATTGATGGGCATTCAAGCGCCAATGGGGTAGCACCGCAATGAACGGGTGTACCAAGGCTCGTGGCGGTGAACTGGAGTGATGCAGCAGAGCTAGTGCGTGAGAGTGCTCCAAATCCTCCTTAGTGGGGGAAGAAACTGTCTGCAGCGAGCAGGTGAAGGCGGGCGGAATGGAGCGGGTTGAGAGTGGCGCGTGGCTGCACTGGAGGAGGTCCATCTTGCATGCACTGCTGACGCAACGACAGGCGCTTCTGTGGAGAGCGGGTAGGGCGAGAGTGTTGGAGGTGCAGGGGATGGAGGCGTGCGTGTGGTTGGGGTCATCAGTAGCTGCACGGCCCACACTCGCCACAGTGAAGCCACGCAGCAGCATGGCCGTCAGCCTGTGCGGGATACCACGTCTCACCTCATCCACTCTTCTCCCATCCCCCGTCCCCTCCCACCCATCCCCCCTCCCCCCTGCGTTCTGCCTCTCCCCCCTCAGGTGTTGGAGGAGCTGTCGCCGTACGTGGAGCTGGCGGAGAAGCTGGGCCGCCTGGCCGTGCAGCTGGTCAGCGGGGGCGCGGGCGTGCGTGACGTGAAGGTGACGTACCGCACGGCGCGCAGCAGCGAGGACCTGGACACGCGGCTGCTGCGCGCCATGATTGCCAAGGGGCTGATCGAGCCAATCAGCAACGCGTACATCAACCTGGTGAACGCGGACTACGTGGCGAAGCAGCGCGGCATCCGCATCCGCGAGGAGCGGCAGCCTGTGGACGTGGACGAGGCGCTGCCGCTCGACACCATCCTGCTTGAGATCACACACGTGCAGTCCAAGCTGGCGTCCGCCGTCAGCGAGGAGGGCGTGATCACGCTGGGCGGCAAGGTGAAGGACGGCGTGCCGCACCTGATCCAGGTGGGGCGCTTCAGCACTGACATCGAGCTGGAGGGCAGCCTGCTGCTGTGCCGCCAGGTGGACCAGCCGGGCATGATCGGCACGGTGGGCATGCTGCTGGGGTCGCACGACGTGAACATCTCCTTCATGAGCGTGGGGCGCACGGGGCCCAGGAAGCACGCGCTGATGGCCATCGGCGTGGACGAGGAGCCGAGCCGCGAGGTGCTGCGCGACATCAACTCCATCCCCGCACTCGAGGAGATGGTCTTCCTCAAGCTCTAATGCACGCACACACGGAGTGCTTCTTCCTAGGGGGTAGCGTTGCACTGCACACTGTAGTAGAGCTGGCTATTATGGACTAAGATCATTGCATGGGTACCTTCCAAACCATGAGGGAATGAGTGAGGTCATCTGTGCATACTTTTGGTGCTCCAGAATGATTTGTGGTGCATCACCCTGCCAGGACAGGGCCCAAAATTGATTTTAGGCCACTCTTAGGAATCAGGGTACAACAAACTTTTACCCTGACGTCTAGAGTAAGTGTTTCGAAGTCTGATTTGGCAGGGTAAAGACAATCAAACTCTCAGGGCGAAGTCCTATGAAGTAGGAACCATGCCGAGTGTTGGGCTGAGAAAAGCCCTTAGGATCTTTACAAAGTCCCAGCTGTAGAGACTTGAGACTTGAGTAGTGCAGCGGAAGTTTGAGGTAGTTTGAACCCTTGTACTAGTATGTGAGAACAAGTGATTGATTAAAGAAACAAGCATACAGCGATATATAGAAGATAAGAAAGAAGTTGTAGAATACAGTTACAGGAACGGTTTATCGAGACGCACAGCGACTCGATTGCCGCTTCGGTTACCATTCGTGATGTTGTAACTGTCAGTCGCAACCTCCAGTTGCGACCTTTCGAGTCTTTTCGCATTCTTTGTCCGCCCCCTCGTGTAACCTCCGTTGACTCGCGTGCTCCCCTGTAATCTTCCTCGACTACAATGTTACACTTCAGAAACGCTTAAGTCCTTTGAGATATTTCCAACACTCCCCTTCGTTTCTGGAGTGCTGGCGTGTTCAGATCCGGTGACGCTTGTTTGCCCGGTCAGGAGCATGCAGTAGTCGAATTTTGCTTTCGCCAATTTCTTCGTCAGATAATCTGCGGCCATTTCTGTCGTCGGGCAGTAACTGAGTTGAAGTCTCCCCTTCGCGATTTCATCATTGACGAAGAAGTACCGCAGGGCGATGTGCTTGGTTCGGTTGGCGAAGCCGTCCTTGTTCGCGATTTTGATCGCAGATTGGTTGTCGCAGAGGAGTGAGAAGGCGGGCAGGGTCGCAATCTTCGCTTCTTCGAGTAACTCCCGTAGGTAGAGTCCTTCCTTGGTCGCACTACAAAGGGCGATATACTCTGCTTCAGCCGAGGATAGTGCGATTAACTCCTGCTTGCTCGACTGCCAGGAGATAGTTCCGATGGGTTCTAGTCGGTAGATGTAGCCCGACCTAGATCGTCGATTTTCCTTATCTCCCGCGTGGTCGGCGTCGACGTATCCGAGTAGTCGTACGGACGGTGTTGTTGCTTTGCTGTAGGTAAGCCCGATCATCGGCGTGGAGACGAAGTAGAGTAGTGCCCGGTTGAGCTCCTCGAGATCTTCCTGTTCCGGTTGCTTTAGATGCGTCGCCAATTGACTCGCACTATAGGACAGGTCAGGTCGGCAGGTTACTGCTGCGAATAGTAGGCAGCCGAGCTTCTGTTGATACTCCTGGATTTGCTTCGCGGGGAGTTTTGCGGAGGTGCTGTTGTTGTTCCCGTAGCGGTAGGGAGTTGGGACCGTAGTCGGTGTTAGACCGAATTTCTTCGCGACGGTGCCTGAGTACTTTCCAGCGTGTAGGTAGAACGCCGTGTCGTCTTCGGCGACATTCAGTCCTAGGTACTGGGTCACTTCGTCGGACACCGTGAGTGTTAAGTCTTCTTTCAGCTCCCCTTCGAACCAGGTGGCGATGTCGGTAGTGGAGCTGATGTAGAGCAGGTCGTCGACGTAGACGATGAGTAGGATATACTCTCTTCCCTTCTGCAGTCGGTACATCGCTTGGTCATGCGGCAGCTGTAGGAATCCGATTTTTGCGAGACGGCCGTGGAGATGCTGCTGCCAGAGCCGCGGGGCTTGCTTGATCCCGTATAGGGATTTTGTCAGTTGGCATACTTTCGTGGGGTCGTCGATGAATCCGTGGGGTTGTTCGACGAAAATCTCAGCGTCCACAGGTGCGTATAGGAATGCATTCGTGACGTCGATTTGGCGCAGTGGTAATGTCTTCGTGGCCGCGACGGCGAGTAGGATGCGTAATGAGGTGTGACGGGAGACTGGGGCTAAGGTTTCTGTGTAGTCGGTCCCGTATCGTTGATCGAAGCCTCGTACAACCCATCGAGCTTTGAATCGTTCGATGGAGCCGTCTGAGTTGGTCTTAATGCGGTACACCCATTTCCCCGAGAGGACGTTTTTTCCGTTGGTGCTTGTTGCAGGTACCAGTTTCCATGTTTTTCGGTTTTGCAGGGCCTTTAACTCCTTTTCCATCACTTCCTTCCATTTCGCCTTATGTTCCCCCCCCAGAGCCTGCGACAAGGTCGAAGGCTCTCGCGGAGAAGGCGGCGGCGGATGCTGGACGGAGACCCAGAGGCCTAGAATCTGCAGTCCCGTGGGTGTGTGTCGAGGGGAATTTTCATTCCCGGAATAAGCTGTTTCGTCACCGTCTTCTGGGTCAGGTAAGAAGTTGGGACCGATGCGTTCTGAAACGTTTGTGTCGACTGGGTGGGGTGTAATGTAACCTTGGTCAGCGAAGTGGTAAAAGGTGTCGAGGTTGTTGCTATCGAGAGGATTGTCTTCGTCGAGTGGAACAGGTACGGAACAGAATGGGAGTGGTCCGGCAGCTTCCGAGGCTTCAGGTACGTCTTCTTCTGCCGCGTCAGCTTCGGCAGCACGGTCGGCGAAGGAACGAAGTCCCGAGAAACCGTCGGTGGGGTCTTGTGTGTTGGCAATGTTGTCCAGGTAATGCTGCAGCGTCAGTCTCTCGTAGAAGATAACATCACGTGATGCCACCGTATTTTTGTCTTGTATGTCGAGAATTTTCCACGCGTGAAAATGTTTGGCGATGCCGAGGTGTAGTCCCCACCGAGCTCGTTGTGTGAAGCGTCCTGCTCGGGCTGTGTGGGGTCTGTACTGTACCATGCAGCCGAAAACTCGGAGTAATTTTGTGCTGCCCCTTTTTCCTGTCCACAACAGGTGCGGTGATGCGTTGTTGGGAAGTGATGACGAGGACAGCAGGTTGTGCAGGTGAACGGCATGTGTCATCGCGTCTGGCCACAGTGTGGTGGGCAGCCTCATCCCCAGAAGCAGTTTTCGCATCGTCGTCTGCAAGGTCCGGTTCATGCGTTCTGCTACCCCCTGCTGCTGGTGAGCATAGGGCAGAGACACCAGGCGTCGGATTCTTCTTTCCGCCAGATAGGTCCTGAAGCGTTGTGACTGGTATTCCAGTGCACCGTCTGACTGGAAGCTCTTGAGCTTGGTTCCTGATTCTCGTTCGGCGATGGGAAGCCATGTGGTGAAGGCCTCGAAGGCTTGATCGCGTGTCTTGAGATTGAAGTGCCAGACGTATCTGGTTGCTGCGTCGATGAACGTGATGACGTAGTTGAAGTCGGCTTCGGTGTCTTCTCGAGGCATGTTTAAAATATCGCTGTAGACCTTTTCCATCGGAGCGTAAGTAGGTGCGCTTGGGTTGTGATGAGATGGGAAAGGCTGATGAGGAAGATCTGCTTCGGGGCACGTGAAGCACCGTGCTCGTGGTCGTCGAAGTTCTTGGCCGCTCGTCGTTAGAAGGGCGTTGCATTCTAACACCTCTGCTTGGATTGTTTGTAGTATCTTGCTGTTTGCAGGATGTCCGAGACGTTGGTGCTTGATGTCGTCGGAAGCGCGATGACCGGGCGAGCGGTGGTAGATGTCGGCGTTGGTGAAGAACGCGACGACTGAGGCGGGACTTCGACAAACTTCTCGTGTGATGGGCATAAGCTGGTCTGCTTCGGTTGGCGGTCCTCGGATCGCTGGTGGTGGGACTCGGCTGGGTCCTGCTGCCGATACTGCAGGTGATGGTTTGGTTGGGATACTTGCGGGGACTTGTCTTCCTTGTCTGATAACCGCTAGTGCTCGTGTTCTTTCTGCTGCGGGTATGGTGTTGGAGTGCCAGAAGCCGTCACTGTCGAAGTCGGGATCAAGATCCGGCGGGTGTGTCCAGGCGGCGAACGATACGATACCGTCGCTGTCGGCAGTACCGCGGTCGGGGACGAAGTCCAACACGAAGACACCGGACTTCAGGAGGGCACGACCGATGAAGAGGCCGCCCTTCCCGTGGTAAAGCCGAAACTCGTTGGAGTAGGAGTCGCACTCCAGGTGAATCCCCTTGGCCATTAGTTGGCTTACGCTTAGTAGGTTGTATCCCAGGTTGTCGACAATGAGCACTTTGTTGAGCTGCAGTATTACGTTTGTCTCCATGGATTGTAACTGAACCACGCCTTGTCTGTTTGTCTTCAGGTTTTCGTTGTTGGCGACGGTGATGACGATGTCGCGGTTGAGGCGTTTCTCCTGTTGCACGAAGCGTCCCGAGGAGCACATGTGTTGACCGCAGCAGCTGTCCAAGAACCAGGTGTTTCGCCCGGTGGGTTCGGCGTTGGCGACTGCAGCATATGTCGGATTGACTTGAAGGCCTTGTGAGCGCGGTGGCGGCAGCTCTTCTTCGTCTGGCGCGTAAGTGGGTGGTGATCCGGGTGCGCAGTTGTCGATGTGTACCATGCAATTGATAATGTTTGGTGTCTGTTGTGCAGATGTTGAAGAGCGCCTTGGGGGACTGGCTTGAGTGGAAGTTACTTGTGAGTCTGCTGGACGGTAAACGCGAGGGCGGTTGCAGTTGACCTTGGAGTGCCCGGAAGTCTGGCAGTTGTGGCAGAAGGGCGGCACGAAGGTAAGTCCCCTGTTGTCGCGTTCTTGCTTGCCGCGTCGATTGTAGGTGTTGTCGTTTCTTCTTTGAGTGTAGAAGACTAACTGCTGTTGCTTTCTTGGTTGTCTTTCTTCGAACAGGTCCATCTCCTGTTGTTCAGCGTGAAGCTCGGCGCAGAGGTGCATCTCCGAAATCCTTCCGTGGGCGCGAAGAAGCGATCGTGTGGTTCTCCATTCTGGCCCGAGCCCGGCGAGGACAAGTGTCACGAAGCTTTCTTCAGTGATTGTTCCTCCGCACCGAAGCAGGCGGTCGCGGAGGGTCTAGCAGCGACTCATATACTGCATCGCCTTTTCCCCAGTCTTCATTTGTATTGTTGTCAGTTGTTGCATGAGTCTGCTTTGTGTCACGCTGTCGTTTGCTTGGTAGAGGCACTTGAGATGGTGCCATGCGAGCTCCGCGGAGTTTCCATAGCTCCAGTATGTTATGATGCTCTGCTGCTCTTGTGGTGACAGGTTTCTCAGGAGGACCGTATACGCCAGCAATGACTGATACGTGAAGATCTCTTGTTCCTTTCCAGTGCCGTTGCTTGGGAATGGCAGGGA